GGACTGTGCTTTGTATCCACTAGATCTTCATACCTCATAGGTAGGTGGCAGTTGTGGAGTTGTTCTGAAGCATGACAGTAAACTATCATGCTTAGAGATTCAAACAAAAATTGTCACCCCTAGGACATCCCCAATTAACACTTTATGTAACATCTCCTAACTCAGCAGAGAGTGATTGCATGTGAAAGCTGAACTTGTAAATAGTGTAGGAATTTGTTTAAATGGCTGAGAACCTGCTGGGTGGCCAAGATCCTTAAAGATTTTAGGCCAAGGAGACAAGAAGCTCTGTATTTTTAACTGGGCAAGTTACTATGGAAGGACAATGATGCCATTAAGCACCTGGTAGATAAAACTATGAATTCTTTAAGTAATGTAGTGGTTTATGTGTACTAGAAAATAGAATATAAAGCCCTTGTTCAAAATTTTTAAATGACTCTCAGTCTTTCTTGACCTGGCCTTGAGTGTCAGGAGTTTTCATAAACACCTGTTTTTGTGCATGAATTTCTCCTTTCAAACCTTCAGCAGGTATCTTACCACTAAACCACATTAGACTATTTACACAAACAGATCATTTTTAGCTGCTGGGCTCTAATAGCACCCACGAATGTTCTTTTAACACTTTTTCAAGGGGAATGAGGTATAGCTAGGTGGTGGAAGCTGTGGGTCTCCAAGTGCCCTAATTAAACTTCTGGGCACTTTTCCCATTTCCACTGCTAAAAGCCTGAAGGATCAGAAGAACAGGAAAATCAGTTTCCTGCTGGGGTGAGGAGATGAACACATTAGCTTGGTGGTGTTTTCCCTCAATGGGCTCTCTTACCAACAACTCTTCACTTCAGAAATTTTACTTGATCAAACATTAGGAAATGAGACATTCCTAACAGAGAAACTACTTTTCTCATCTGAAGAATGAAATGATTCATCTAAGTGACCTTTAATGTCCCTTACAGCTCTGAGTCTATAAAAGAACAATAATATTCTGAATCAAGAATTTTTGTACCTTACTGGAGAATGTTGCACTTAAAAAAAAAACTTTATAAGCAAACTAAAAAGACAAATGACAAACTGGGAAAAATATGTGTAAACCCTATCACAGAAAAGAGGTTCATGTTCCTAAGATACAGAATGTATAAGAAAAGTGGATTAGAAATATGATCTGAACTCAATGAGAAGATGCTCTACCACATGCTTAGCAAGAAGAATGAAATTATGGCTAGATAACAATTCCAATTTTTACCTCAAAAATGGGCAAAAATCTAACAACATATCCAATTGGGAAGACTACAGCAGAACACTGGCACATAATACTGGTGGAAATGCAAAATAATACAATGCTTATGGAGGAGAATTTAATGATACATAACAAAATTATATATGCATTTATCTTGAACTCAGGATTCCCGGTTTTAAGAATCTCTCCCAAAGACATTCAGGCAAAAATAAATATACACACAAAATTATTCACTGTAGTAGCTTAAGAGAGGAAATAACAGAGACAATCAACAACAGAGAAAAATGCTGAAAAAAACATGGTATACTGATGCAATGGAGTACCATGTAGCTGTACAATAAATGTGGACCATCCTATATAATGATCCCCAAGATCAATGGTTACATAAAAAGAAGCAGAACTAAGTGTGTATACTGTGATGACATTTAGCTAAGAAATTGGAAGTGATATGAATGAATATATATTTTTAAATATATAACCTATTTTTAAATTATAGAATAAACCTAAACAATTGTTTTTGAAAATGTTATTTTTAGAAGGAGGTAAAATACAGGGTGGATAGGGCAGTAGCAGAAGCCAGGTTTCTCTGACTGTCCCCTGGAGCTGGCTTGTACTGATCCTTGGGGGACGTTCAGGTGCTTTGTGAGCCGGCCATCTTGACCTTGGTAGCTTGAAACTGGCTGCGGTGGGGGTTCACAGGCATGTGCTGTAACTATGCTCTCTACTCCTATGTAAGACAAGTTTTCTGTAATAAAGTTAGGAACCATGTCAACAAAACAACACAATTTATGTAGCTAATGTTAATAAGCTGGTGCTAGAACACTAATATCAGGCCAAGACATTCCAGCTTAGGGATCTATCACAACCACCTGAAGGACTTCTTCAAAATGCAGTATGAACCACCGCTGGCTTAACCTCAAAGACTGAAGGAATTCTGTCATATCCTTCGGGACTAGTGCATGTAGGGAGAACAGTTGAGAACCACTGTTTAAACCTTCTAAGGGCTATACATTGTTCGTCTAGTTTTTATCTGCTTGCCGGACACATAAATAGTACTTAAGTAATAGTTGGTGAATTAATGAATGACCCTGGGACATGAAAATAAATAGGCAAGCTTAATAGCAGCTAAATGTTAGGTGTGCAAAAAACATCGTTCATATTTGATATTAAAAATCACTTAGGTTGCTGAGTTTACAGAGCAGGCTCTCTGTTTTTAAGTGGAATGGGTTTTTTATCTTAAAGCCACAGACTTAGTCACTTCAAACAGCTACAAGTAAACTCCCAGGATAAAAATAGTTTTAAATACACAATTGGGCGGGGTGTGGCTAAAAAATATTCTGATTCTACAATCTGTTTTGGACAAGACATTGCTTCTTATGTGACTAACAAAGCAAACAAGAAGTCAGATTCCCTGCGCTGAAATAAGTACACTATTTGCAAAAAGGGTTGAACATCCGAAGCTCATTCAACAAAGACACCACATTTTCCAAAGTTAAAGGGGACTATAGAATGACAAACACCCACATATATTTACATATCCCTAAAAGAAGGCATATGATCACCTGGTATGGATTTTGTCTCTAAGTACTAAGTGGAGCCAAGCCCACTGTCTGACCACAGGGAAGAGCAGAATACCTCAAGCACAAGAATAAACTTAAAAGCTGTGAGGAGCTTAAAAACCTCCTTTTCATTGTGTTGATGAAAAAACAGACACCTACAGAGGTTAAGGTAAAATGCCCTGAAAATAGTTACACAGCCACAGGTGAACAAGGAGTCGATGCAGGTGCACAATGCTAGGTATGAAGAGCTGAGAATAATCTCCTGAACTTTTGCAGGAATGGTGCTTAGAGGGTGTCAATCTCAATCATAAGGAAATAAGCGTATGTATAACCCTGCAGACACACAAAAATACTATAATATGTACTTCCAATAGCACCTTTCAAAACAAATTCTTCAGCCTAGCATTCAAGAGCATCCACAATGTTACCTCGCTGACTTTTCAAGATCTCGTCCAAATGAGCCACAAGCAGAGGAAAGGCAGCTGCTTTCTCTCACTTATCTTCTGTGGCCTCTTACAGATGCAGCAGAGTACAAATAATCGTCACAAAAGTTGCCATAGATAATTTCCAAATGATAAAAGGTGATTGGAATATCAACTTTCCAATTCTCCTCTTAATCTGAACTGATATACAGCCACATTTCATGTGTACCAATGAGTATTACAGAGACACATATGATAATATAGGTTTTTAACATAGTAATCAACAAAAGGTTTAAAAGTGACCAGAGAAAGGGAGGCAGTGAGATGAGTTACCATTTACATCTCTACAAGGTGCTATACAGGCTTTGTTTAAAACACATACAGAAAATTATATGCAGGGAAGGATAAAGGGAATAAACTAAGAACAAGCCTTTATTCTGTCCACTGGTCAAATGTTCAATTATTTCTATTGCTGACCAATCCTGAATCCCTATCACTTTACTTCTATAGAGATTAAAAAAAAAATGTCTAGGTGTATCTATGTCTATGCATGAAATGCTCCTTCTCACCTACTTCACCTGTACAGTTGATCTGATTTAGCTCCAATCAGATGAAATTAAATACGATACAAAATTTAGCCTCTCACTTTTCTATCTTTATTAGAGTCTTCAGGATCCCTAAAACAGATTTTAAGAGTCCCCTAGTTGTTAAAGAGAATACTAATTATTTAAAATGACAATGATAATGTTTACTGTCATCTCTCCAAAAAACCCCACAAAAAACCAAAAACTACAAACAAAAACAAAACAAAACTATTTCTAATTGGGTTGCTTTAAGATCTCTGACAGAAATTAAAATGTAATTTTAATGATATTTTTATAAAGCTGAAAACAAAGATTGAAGAATTTTTTTTTCCTTTTGAAGTGAATACAGCAACCTTATTTAAGTAGACATGATAAGACATTATCAATTAAGGGTTTTTGCAATCTCTACTGTAAGTCTAAAGTAAGATCCAAAATGAAGCAACTTAATCTGAAGTCATTCTCTGAACATACTGCTGTGAATAAACTAAATCCTTCAGGGTAATTATATTGCTAATTCGACTATCAAATTTATGGATGTCTTGCCCCTGTCTGAAAAATTTAAAATATTTAATATGTAAAACTTGAACTATTCATGCTATCATATTTAAAATTTCTCTTAAAAACTTCTGAAGACTTACACTAAAATCCTGAAATACAAAATAGCATACCTACATTTTCAACACTATGTTACTCTCAAGCCTAAAAATAAGTAAGAATTGGGGTAAGCTATTTTCATAAAAATTTAGGAACATTAATGGACACACTGATGGCTTTATGCAATAACTGAAGAATTTAGGTGCTGGTTTAAATCCACACTCCCCTCCAAAAGACTTCTTCCCTTATTATATACTACCAACTATTTTCAACCAAATAACACAAGAATGTGCTTTTCAAAAATATAAAGGGGATAGTATCATCCCATCATGAACAAACCTAAACATCTGAGTAATAACTTCTAAAATAAAATCACAGAAAAGATGGTGTATAGTTAAAACTATTAATATATATTTAAGACAAAGAGTTTATTTTTCAATAAGAAAACAGGGAAAAAAGAGAGCCCAACCTGATCTTGTATGTCTGCCCAATAGAACTTTCCACCATAATTAGTGCTTTCCACCTCTGGGGGTGGAGCTGGAGCTCAGGGTGATCTCATGTAGTAGGAGGAAAACAGTATAAATACTGCCCAACAGCTCTGGAGGGAGCATCTTCTGCATTGTCCACGTGGGAGCAGGAGGGCTCAGGAAGCAGCCAAGAGGCCATCTCCAGGAAACTCCAGCGCTCAGGTAAGTCTATAACTCAATGCTCACAGGTGGTCTTCCACGTCAGCTTGTTTGGAAACAAGCTGCCATTAATTAACTACTTGGATTTTGTGATTAAAAAAAAAGTCTTTCCACTAAAACACACTCAGAAAGTTTAATTTGTTTTAGATTCTATAAAAGAGAGTCCTAATGAACCAGATTTGCTAAAAGATGCCCTAATCTAAATTTCAGTGTTATTTTGAAACTACTGGATATTTCTATGTCAAAGAGCCTAAATTATTTAATAGAGACATTCAATTACTGGGTTTTGTTTTTTTTTTTTTACTTCATTTTTACTTGGTCACTTAAATGTGGTTTCCCAAAACATATATTCATGTAATTAAAAATAACTCATTAATTAGAAAGTGTATTCAAAATACATAGGATAAGATAAAAAAGTAAGTGTATAAGGAATTCATTTGCACAACATTAGAAAAATAAAATAGGTCAATAACAAAGTTGAATAAAATTATTTTTTTCTGTTTTTCAGAATCCATCTGCGAACATGCCAGAAATAGCCCTTTTGCTGCTAATGTCCTTGAACTTGGTTCATGGAGCGTTTTATGCTGAGAGATACCAAACACCTACGGGTGTAAAAGGCCCACTACCCAACACCAAGACACAGTTCTTCATTCCCTATGCCATAAAGAGTAAAGGTAAACTGAACTGTATATATTGCTCAATTAACTAGTTGTTGCTTTCTACAATCTTAATGATCTCTTTAACAAAATGTTATTGACTTTGTTGGTGTTAAACTATTTTCAAACTCTGGAATTAGCCCAAAATGAATAATGGGAAAAGGTAGGCCTATTCAAGAACGTTAATATTCTTTGCATAATAAGAATAGTAGAAAAATACACCTGAACTCTTTTATCTGTAGAAATTTTTCCCCTCAAATGATGTTTTTGCATAAACTACTTATAATCTAGAAATACTAATCTAATCTAAATTAATCAAGGTGAAAATGGTTAAACTAAAATAACTGACAACTGCACAAAAAATGTAGGAGGTTTATATTTATGAAGCCTTAAACATATTTAATTTTAAAATCTACTCTACCAATGCAAATATATAAACAAAAGGGGTCATAATAATCAAATAAAATATGCTGCTCTCAGAAATTTACAGTGATTCTCATAATTTCTTATACATTTTTGTATAGTTTAGTAGTATGCGACCAAGTAAGTTATTCATCTTCTTTGTGCCTTAGTTTCCTTTTTTGTAAAAGGAGAAGAAGCTATTTCAAAGGGCCATTATAATGTATAAATGAGTTAATATCTGTAATGTGCTTAAGTGTTGGCTATTACTATCCCTCCTTCCCCCCTCCCTCTGCCACAGTACAGGTGACGTGGAATTAGATTTTTTTAAATTTCTTCAACCTATTCTTCTTCTGTTCAGCTTTCTCAGCTCCCATTAAGGGTACTGAGAAAACTTGAAGTAAAGTGCTAACAGATCCTTAAAGAGCAGTAATTGGGGTTCATATTTGCTAATTCCATTTAATACAATAACATCCGACAGACCCTACCTATAAAGCAGCCACTGAATTGAACAGAATAATCTGAACTGACTGTAGGATTCAAATTTTCTTTCCATAGTATTTTTTTATTTCAGTTATATATTTTACCTGGTAAATAAAGCTAAGGATATTTGCCATTCATTTTAAAAATTATGCTTTTGGAGACAACAATTTTGAGCAAATTAAACTTAAAAGGGTTGTCTTTTTAAGAATAAAGTTGAAATTTAAAATATTTCATGAAAGGTAGCTTAGTGTTTAAAAACCAAGGCACAAATGCACAACAGATACTGCTGAATGTCTCAAACTAAAAATAAGAAAAAGAGGTAAGTTAGGAAAGTAAGAATAAAAGATCAGGAAGCCTGCTACTTGAAGCAACAAATGGCATTTTCAAATGGTAAGACAAGCAGCCCTGGGTTATACTCTCTCTGATTGCAAATTCAGTCTTTTTTAGTTCACTAAGATCATAAGAAACAGTCTTAAATTAAAAATAAAATGCACTACTTTTAGGAGGTTAAAAATATTTTTATCTTCCCACCTTAATTTACCGCATCACCTTGGCTATTTTTGCAGAATAAAAATATCTCTACTTGATCATACAAGGTAGAAACTCAAATATATTATCATCCCACTGGCAGGCACTGTACACTGAATGAAGACAAAAGCCCATAATTTATACAAATAAGACATTAAGTTGATAACAGAGATACACAGTGCACGTCTGCTCAGCTCAGGCGAAGGGAGAAATCGGCCCCAACACACTACATTATGCTGCAGAGGACTGCACAGCTGGTGGGCATGCGAATGCCACATTCTGACATAACCGACCACTCCTTCGGTTTGTGGGCACTTAAGAAACGTCTCTACTGGGTAATTGTTTTCCATTGAGGATGGTACCATCCAAATCTTGAATGTATTCAAATGGCCAGTTATAACACAAAGAGGGGCTGTCCTCGAAGGACACAGCAGAAGTCACATTCTTGTGACGAGGTGCAGGACACATTATTGCATTTATGTGCACATTTTATGTGTATTGTAGCACATTCCAAGTGGTAGACATCACCCTGTCCTTACCGCTCTGGTCTTGAATTGTGTCTCATGTAGTCATTTTCAATAAGACATGTCTATTTTCCATTTTAACAGTTAAACAGATTTTCAAAAAGACTAAGACTTTTTTTTTAGTTTGAATATAATCTAAATAATATTCTGAAGCAAACCCTAACCTAACATAGTTTGCATTTTTTAAAATGTGCTATTTTATTCCAAACTATTAAGAAATCCTTTATTCATTTATTCTATTTGCAATGTATCTACAGCTATTTATAGAGCAATATCATATATATTTATGCTAAAATCAATCTCAAGATCTGTGTTAACTTATGGAAATCTTTTCCACAGGCTGACTTTTCTCATAGACCTTTTTTTTCTGATATCCCTTTCTGAAAACCCAAGGGTATATAAATCTCCATATACTTAAATGTTTGAAAAATAAAATGTAACTCTAATTAGTACAAAATGTAAAGATATCCAAGTCCAAAATGATTTTCCTGTTTCAGCATATCTATCTTCATGATTTTGCTCTGTATTGTATATTCCATTTGTCACCATATGTTTTTCAAATATCAGGAATATCTCTTCTCAAGAGAATAATATTACTGTTGGCTGACTACTTCTTACATACCAGTTAATATGAAATATTTTAAAAACACAATGTGATAATAATAAAGGGAACTATACCCAGCAAAATGTTTTCAAAGGCAATTTGTAATTTCAACTTCTAATTCAATTTATAATTTCAATTCATTTAATTTCCAAGTTAGTATTCACTTTGATTTTTAAAGCCAATAAAGGTTTAATTAAAGAGTTTAATTATTCATTTTTGTATAAAAAAGATGTGGCTCAAAAGTCATAGCTATAAGGCACTCTCAGGGTTTTGACCAAACTACCCAACTACTATGACATCTACTAAATCTACAGTTACCATGACCCATGTTCCAATAGTAGAAGGATCTACATAGTATATGGAGGCATTCTAATTACGTTTCTGAAAATTTATTAAATGGAAAAATTATTTTAATGTAAATTATGCAACCAGATACTTAAAATCATATGTGATTTTACTACCATCTTCTCTAGCTGTTAAAGAATTTCTCTGAGAACATTTTCGGTAGACGCTTGTGATAATTACTGCCTGAAGATTCTTTGAGGGGTAATACTTTCCTAATGATGTATCCTAATGCCAGCAATGCTCTGTTCTATCCCACCTCTGAGTGGCTAAAACAGACCTTGGTACACTCGTAAAGCACTCACTGCACACACACTTCTTATTCCCTTTGTGACTGAGCCTCTTGCAGGATGCATCCTTTGCTCCCCCTGCACTTGAGGCTCAATAGCACTTTTCACATCACAAGCAATGAATAAGTGATTCTTGAGTTTATATTTATTATATTAGTAGAAGTAATTAGCTCAAATAAACTCAAGCTCTATGAAAGCAACAATGTTTATTTGCATTTATCAAGAAAAACTTGAGGCAAGCACTTTCATATTATTTTATGTACCTCTCCCATTACGACTAATTTTTTAATTCTCTGTTTGAATTTTAAGTCAATAATGGAGAATGTAAGAGTTCACAGTGCGTACTGAAGTTAAAAAAAAAATCAACCTAAATCTGAACTGTGTTCAGCAGGGCCATAGCCAATGTAAATTAGAATTAAGGACATTTCTCATTTATGTCTTATAGAATAGCTTTTGTAAAGGAATATTGCTACAGTTCTTAAATATTTTCCCATTTATTCTGTGCTTATCTTTTTCTTCCTTTTCTGTAAGATACCTTTTTTCTCCTTTCTCCCTAGGTAGATGATTTTCCCAAAATAAATGTAATATATTTGCTTCCACTGCACTCTTTCTCTAGATGAATTCTTCAATCCCAGCTTATTTTCATGGATGATGAGCATGTAATGAAAGTATTACGGTGGCCGTCATCTTGTGAAACCGTATTTTCTAGCAATGTTTTTTAAAACAGTAAAAAACATGTTGTCTGAAACCATTTAAGACTGGTCTGCCAAAATGGACAGATAGACGCTGCAACACTGCAATGTTCTGACCTGATTTATATTTCAAGAAGCAATAATTACCCTTAACGTTACTAAAGATCCCCCTCTCTGGGCGTGTGTTTTGGACATGTCTTTTAGGTATACCAGTAAGAGGAGAGCAAGGTATTCCCGGCCCACCAGGCCCCGCTGGCCCTCGAGGGCACCCAGGTCCCTCTGGACCACCAGGAAAACCAGGCTATGGAAGTCCTGGACCCCAAGGAGAGCCAGGGCTGCCGGGCCCACCGGGACCATCAGGCACCGGGAAGCCAGGCTTGCCAGGACTGCCAGGAAAACCAGGGGAGAGAGGACCATATGGACCAAAAGGAGACATTGGACCCGCTGGTTTACCAGGACCACGGGGCCCACCAGGACCACCTGGAATTCCCGGCCCAGCTGGAATTTCTGTTTCAGGAAAACCTGGACAACAGGGACCCCCGGGAGCCCCTGGGCCCAGAGGCTTTCCTGGAGAAAAGGGCGTACCAGGAGTCCCTGGTGTGAACGGACAGAAAGGGGAACCTGGATATGGTGCTCCCGGCCGCCCGGGTGAGAGGGGCCTTCCGGGTCCTCAGGGTCCCATGGGACCACCTGGCCCTCCTGGAATGGGAAAAAGAGGTGAAAATGGATTTCCAGGACAGCCAGGTATCAAAGGTGACAGGGGCTTTCCAGGAGAAAGGGGACCAGCTGGCCCACCAGGCCCCCAAGGTCCTCCTGGGGAACGAGGACCAGAAGGCGCTGGGAAGCCAGGAGCAATTGGAGCCCCAGGCCAGCCAGGGGCTCCAGGAACCAAAGGTCACCCTGGGGCTCCAGGAGTAGCTGGGCCCCCAGGGCCTCCTGGCTTTGGGAAACCAGGCATGCCAGGCCTGAAGGGACAAAGAGGACCTGCTGGCCTTCCAGGGGCTCCAGGTGCCAAAGGGGAACAAGGCCCAGCAGGCCGTCCTGGGGAACCAGGTCTGACTGGACCCCCTGGAAATATGGGACCCCAAGGACCAAAGGGCATCCCAGGCAACCATGGAGTCCCAGGCCCTAAAGGTGAGGCGGGGCCAGTCGGGCCTGCAGGACAGCCTGGTGCTAAGGGAGAAAGGGGTTCCTCTGGTTTGGATGGAAAACCAGGGTACCCGGGAGAACCAGGTCTCAATGGTCCTAAGGGACACCCAGGGTTACCAGGTCCAAAAGGTGACCGTGGAGTGGAAGGACCTCCTGGTCTCCCAGGCCCTGCAGGCCCAGCAGGAGTTAAGGGAATGCCTGGACACAATGGTGAGGCAGGTCCAAGAGGTGCCCCTGGGATACCAGGTACCAGAGGCCCCATTGGGCCACCAGGCATTCCAGGATTCCCTGGACCTAAAGGGGATCCAGGAACCCCAGGTCTTCCGGGCCCAGCTGGCATAGCAACTAAGGGCCTCAATGGACCCACTGGGCCACCAGGGCCCCCGGGTCCGAGAGGCCACGCTGGAGAGCCTGGCCTTCCAGGGCCCCCAGGCCCCCCAGGTCCCCCGGGCCAAGGAGTCCTTCCAGACAGCTCTATAAAGGCAGGCCAAAGGCCTCTTGTTAGTGCCAACCTGGGTGTAACGGGAATGCCAGTGTCTGCTTTCACTGTTATTCTCTCCAAAGCTTACCCAGCTATAGGTACTCCCATCCCCTTTGATAAGATTTTGTATAACAGGCAACAGCATTATGACCCAAGAACTGGAATCTTTACCTGCAGGATACCTGGAATATACTATTTCTCCTACCATGTGCATGTCAAAGGGACCCATGTGTGGGTAGGTCTGTATAAGAATGGCACCCCTGTAATGTACACATACGATGAATATGCCAAGGGCTACCTGGATCAGGCTTCGGGCAGTGCCATTATCGATCTCGCAGAAAATGACCAGGTGTGGCTCCAACTGCCCAACGCTGAGTCCAATGGCCTGTACTCCTCTGAGTATGTCCACTCCTCTTTCTCAGGATTCTTAGTGGCTCCAATGTGAGCACGTTCCCACAAAGCTAATATAAATCTGCTTGAAAAGGCATCGCCCAACTTCACCCCACCCCACAAAATGCATATGGAGGTAGGCTGAAAAAGATATCGCTCATTTTAACTTTCCAAAATACAGATTTGAGCTTTCAGACCAACTTTCCCTCTGAAAAAGGGAGCAGCAATGCTAAGAAAATATGTGAAGACCTTCTCAAATTCCTAATCAGCAGTCCTAAGACTCTTTACTATTTTCTGTGAAGTCCTTCAGTATTTAAAGATTTCACCATAAAACTCCTACTAAGCTAAAATATAAAAGGATCACAAAAACCCCTGATCTCTGATGCTATGTTCTGTTAAATTTGACTTCAGAATCTCAGCATTTGCCTGGTCTCTAACGATTATCAGAACTTCTAGGAAACATTAAGGAGGTATCATATCTTTATAAAACTTAAATACTTGAATATTCAAATTTAAAAGACATTGTATACCATAGGATTTTTCAGATGGTGCATTACGCAAGGCTTATATGGCCACTTGCATCAATATCTATTCAAATATAGAGGTGCATATAGACTTTTTACAACTCTCATAAAAAATAAAAATATTATGTTAAAATTAACCTGAAATACAACCAAGGTGCTTTAGTCATGAACCTTTTCAAACTTTTCTGTGATTGCAGAAAAGCTTTCTATATATCCTTCACAACTTGGAAGTAGGTGCCTTACTTATTGTGTGTATGTAACACAAGTGTGATTAAGTTGATTTAATTCCTTTGAGTTTTATGTCATATCACTTTGTGGGTTTACAGTATGTACCTGTGCCTCCCATTCCAGTGAAATAATAACTAATGTCAAGGGTTTCAAAATTTGCCTAGAAATGAAAAGACATTATTTATTTATGCTCTGTACTGTATTTTTATATTGCTGTTTAAAATGTATAAGCTGTGCCTCACTTATTAAAGCACGAAATGTTTTTTCCTACTTATTTTCAATGCAATAAAACAACATCAAATAGATTTTTATGTGAAATTTATTTGACAGTAACAATTTGCAGTTCTCAACCATTCTTTTAAGGCTTTTCATTTTACAAAGCTAATAAAAAGTAGAACAATAACGTGGTGGGTGGCTTTACAGTTGGCATGGAAACACGTGCCTCTCCATTGGAGATGCGCATTCCCACACACCCAGGCGCTCAGTGTGGCCTGTGAAAAGGCACCTTCCTAACATGTGACCTAGGAGCCAGGGTGAAGGGCTGGTGGCTGGGAGAGAATATCACTGCACCCCACAGCAGAGATTTTCTTCTGGGAGTGAAAGGAGCAGGTGGCGGAGGCGTATGTAATTTGAATGAATATTCTTCAGTGGCTATTTGCTACCTTGATATGTGTTTTAGTCATAATATTTAGGATCATTTTGTCGGTTTAAATTACATTGAAAGGATGGCAAGCAATTTTTAAGTCAGTTAAAAAGCAACATTTTGCTAAGCTGAAAAATACTGCTCCTGAGCATCTACTAGCCCACTGGCTGAATCAGGATTGTCTCTGGTTGAGGTCACTGGGGTAACATCCTACAAAGGCATCTTTTATTCCTTAGAGGTAATCTGTGTAACCCAAGAAACCTGTGACTAGAACCATGAAACTCTAGGCTCGGGTTGGTGATATCTCTGTCCCCATTGTAGGTCAGCCAGTCCTGTCTTTTAAGCAAAAAGAATAGAATTTCCACTTTTTCCAATTGTCTATGTCACCGACCGCTATTCCTGAGCTAGGAAAGAGCAAAACCAGAACTCCAGTTCTGGGGAACAGACAAAATGACCCTATGGACCGGTAGACAAAAGACGGCCCCGCTCAGAACATGTGCAATTGTGGCCATGAAGCAGACGAACAAAAGAATCTCTTAAAATGTAAATGGTACCAACTTTATAGTGATATTTAGGATCAAATTAAGTTCCAGTTAAGGAATGTAGTAGATATATACATAATGGCTACATAGTTCACCAAACACACAGTACTTAACAAACATCTATTAGAAAATCTTTACGTTACTCACCTTTAAAAGCTGACATTCTATAATTGTGTTGTATGCCAGCAACTATATCCTTCCAAAAATCAAATGTTTTCTGACCGTTGTGATGCTAAAAAGTAAAATAAATTTCCAAATGTAACACACGCAATAATTCTGTGTTTAAGCATAATAGAAAATACTTGGCAAATAATAAAAATATTACCATATTCTAAAATAGGGACTCATGTTTTAGAAAACTTAATGGGTTAATAAAATTCTCATTTTTCTAAACGTGATTTTAAAAAGAATTATCTTCCATGAAAATCACTACTACAAAGATTATATATATACACGACTAAATATTAACATAGCTAATATAACTCACATAAAATAAAAAACTTCACTCGTTAGAAGTATAAAAATTACAGAATATTTTAAACATGAGTAAATTTACAATGTTATAGCCTCTGAAATATCAGAATGTGTTACTCTGTGTACTATGGTATCCATGGGGCCAAGGGGCCTGAAACCTTAAAAATCTGAAAAGCTGGTTACTTTAGAATTCAGTGCATTTACCTGAATTTTAATATAAAAGAGTAGTAAGTATCTATAGAAGGCATGAAGGAGGTTCCAAATCCAGAATGTAAACCATTTTTCCTCAGATTTGTTTTTCTTTTTTTTAACCAGAAAGGAAATAAACATTACATTAAAACACACAACCCTACAACTCTTTGGTTCCTTGGAAATATTAAACAGTGTTTCCATCTAAACAAAGACCAACTACTATATATTTGTATGAATTATAAAAATTCTGAAATACTTAAAGACTGATAAATTTGCTAGTATTCACTATAAAATGAGAAGCTGACTCTCTCATGTCAATAATAATTTCTACAAACTATTGCTCCACTGAAACTTTAATAAACACACGACTGTAATTCTGAGTAAAAAATAAATCATTACCTATGTTTTATTATAAACATGATTATTGTGACTTTAAAAGATAACATGCAGAAAGGAAAGTGATTCTGATGTAAAACCAGTTTATGTTTATACATCTTAAATTCTAAGTATAAACTGACATAACTAGAAATATAATTTGGATACACAGTACAAAAGAAGTGTATATGCATTAAACTCTGCTTAAAATGGTGAATTTAAAAATTTCATCTCATTTTTCAGTTTTACATTATTTAGAATGCTTAAAGACATGTAGAATTTCTTAATTACCTTTACTTTTTAATATTCTGCTAATAAAGCAAAGAAAATATTTTTACCAGATGGAAGCTTTCTTTTGCTTTAAAAAAGTATGCATTTATTCAACTATCATCAATCAATAATTTTGCATATTTTCTCTTTGTAGTTTTTTCCTACGACAATTCTACAAGTTGAAAGCAAGATCAAACCCTCTATTCCTTTGTTTTATTTAAAAGCAGTGAACTTCTATTCCATAACTGGACTATACTTTCTGAAGAGGCAAACAGAGATTTAGGCACATGGCTTCTGACCTATCTTTCAAAATGTGAAATCCAAAGTGGATGTGTGTGTTGAGTCATGGAAAACCAAGGCAAGGACCAGGCACCAAAGTTTTTTGCTGGGAGTGGGACCAACTGCAGAGTTAAAGCCACATTGTAGACTTGAAGATAAAGTCATTATTGTACGAATGTTCAGATGTACGGATAATTTTTATGAGATAATTTTATAATGTGAGTGAAACTGGTGACAGATGCAGGGGAGTAAGATCTCAAATGCGCAGAATAACAGTTTAGCAGCTTCTTTTATGCATTTGAAATTAAGGAGGAAACAAGGAAGGTTATGTGGAGGTGGGAGAAAGCAAGGTGGGGACTGGATTACAGGATAGTTTACAGACTGCTGGCTCTCTTGAGGGCAGTTGCAGTTTATTTCAAAGGTATGTTATCCTAGAGGCACAGAAACAAATAGGGCTTGCTTAAGGCAAAGATAAATCTTTTATTAAAGACATGCGCCTGTGGCACATCGACCCACCGTAAGTTGCCTAGTGAAGATTTTACATAGATGCCAAGTTCTGTATTTTTTTCTAGACTTTTGCACCCTCTGCTGGAGAATATGTGTATTATCCTTGAGGGGAAAAAATGGTCACTGCTTATTTAATTTTCCAAAACATTTTGGCCAAATTCTGTTTTTCTTCCTCAGTCCCCTTTGAAACCACAAAGAAGAAACAGTACGATCCCAATTCAAAAGACACATATAGTTAAGCCCTCTGATTTATGACTAAATGTGTATATCACAGTTTTCTAAAAAAATGTTTAAAAAGTTTTCACCTTTGTTAAAGAATCCACCACTCTGGCACATAGAAGAGCTCCTGGCAGGTCAAAGTAGTTATCGTAAATATAGTATTTTCCTAAAGAAAGAACAAAAATTTAAACTGGGAACAAATTAATGCCTCATTCATGTGGCACACCCAGAAACCTGGCTGAAGGGCTGGTTGGTACAGTTAATTTAAAGGAGCATCCACTCCGGCTCACAATGGCTCCCTTACAGGCTATCATCATCTTTCGAAGGTTCAAGCTACGAGGGTGCTTCAAGAAAGTTAGAAGATGACATGCCTAAGTTAATCGTTTTATCCAAAACTATGTAAGTTCTATTTTTAAACCAAAAAGAGGCTATATCCCAAATATAAAATGGATTATGAAAAAGCCAGAGTTTATGCTATTAATGTCACTGAATTTCAAAAGAAAGAGTGTAACGCTGGACTTCAATGAAGTGCTCCATTCAAGAGCCTCTGTTATATCGCTGCCTGACCACTGGGCACCTGCAATGAAAACAGTTCCCTCGCCAACTCAGTTAAGAGCAGATAACCTTCAAGGCCATCCGCAGACCATCCTGGGTCAATTCAGCACCAGAGGGAAGCTGCTGACTTTTATTGGAGAATGGGAGGAATAGTGAGTAAACAACTGGGTCAGATTAGGTGAATGTTCTTTCTGTAGCTGGGAAATGCTTTAGTCTTTAAATACTCTGTTTCTGAATGGGATGTCAGAAAGATAGTTGTGTCCCTAGCTTTTCTGAGTTATTTATAACTGCCTACATGTAGACAGACAACAGTTCTCTACCCTCACTTGAGTAAAAGGCTATCTACCCATTTAACTTCTGCTAGTTATTTTGAGCGGAGATGTGTGAAAGCGTTCTATATCTAACCCTGATGTGAAGTCTCGGGGTTTCCTAACTTACTTTATCAAGAGCACTCATACTTCCTGACATTTTAATCTCTACAAAAACAAAACAAAACTCTCAGAAGACAGCAAATGTAACAAAGGAAACACAATCATGGCAAGGAATAGTTTCAACTATTCTCAGTTCATTACATTCTCTAAAGGAGAAGAGAGACATTTCAAAACTGTAATGTATGGGAAACTGGCAAAAAAAAAAAATAGAAAAAATAAAAAAACAGTGATAACTTTTAATAAAGCCTGTTTATAACAATATTTTAATTATTCCCTATTATGTTACGCATATCCATGTCTGTATATAATTTTTGAAAACTATATTCATGTGTACACATGGTAAAACTCCTTAAAGACTAGAAAAAATGTGTAAAATCATTTAAAATAAAGAAAAAGATGAAGGGAAAAGATACTAGATCCGGCAGTAAGGAGGGAAATTCCAGAAAACAGGAGCGGTAGGTGATATGAATGTAGGGAGGAATGGGGGATGGAGAAATAAAAATAAGAATTGAGCCTATAACAAACAGATAAAAATACAGCTGACTAAGGAAGGTATTATTCCTAAATGCTGGTCTTTCCCCTGCAGAACAAGTGCTAGAAAAAGGAGTATCAACAAAATCTTAATTAAAACAGAACCAAATGCCAAAGAGAAATCAAACACATGTGGAAGAAAAATATATCCTATTCCTATAAAACCCAGTAGGATGCAAGAGAGGCCTTCTTCACGTCCTCATGGAGCAGGTTCGGAGTCCAAAGTAAAAGGGAGGGAATGGGCAGTGCTGCCCATGTGAGCCATACCTGAGCGGAAAGCCATTCCAGTGTCGGCCATGAAGTACTTCCACTCCTTCCTGCCATACTCCTTGGCCAGCTCCTCAGGAGACATCATCTTTGTGCCGTGGCTTGCCCTGGTTTGGGGAGATGAGGCACACTGCTCAGCAATGGCGCCCCGAACACCCCTTCCTCCAGCCTTGCTATTGTGGATCCCCCCTAAAATTAATAAAAGTTTTCCTTGTTTCTATTTTCAATGGGATAACTTCCCCATTTAGGAATCAATAAAGCATTTCCCTTGATAGCTCTAGCTCTTCCTCCATTTCATCCACCAACTACCAAGTGATCAGGAGCAGTTCATTCTGAGGACCACATTCTGGTCATTGCTCTGGACCTATAAGGCAGAAGCTATAATCTCTCTGGATGTGATACGACAGCACCCTTTCCTAAGAAGCTGTTGTGTAACTATGAAGTTTAACCTAACTGGAAGAATTAAAAAACAACTGTGTGGATTGGGTCTGGGAGCAAGAGAGGAAGAGCAGCAGGTAGGAGAGTCAGCACGTGAGCTGTGCCAGATCTGCAGGAGAGGTGGGAGACACCTGGGGGTGGCCAGCTTGTGGGCACAGGAGACTGTGAAGCTAGGTGAGCAACCTGCCCATTCAATGACACGCTATAGCTAAAAACACAAAGGATGACAGAGAGATGAATGTGACAAATCTTAGAACAGCAAGACAAGGGTGTAGCTACTTCCTGCGTTCAAAACACTGAGCTTGTATCAGTTGATCCTGATTAAGGACTCTTGGCCTATAGAGAAACAGCTGATATTTTATGTCGTTTATGAGCCATGCTCATGCTAGAGAGCTTCATTATTCTTCTCCTGATGTTACAGAGTGGTAGCAAAGCAAATGAAGGAAAAAAGAAATGAAATAAAAAGGGCAAATGAGGAAAATCACAAACACTCTCCCTTTTATAAAGAGGTTAATGTCCTAGAAAGTGGTATGTAGAGACGGAGGAACCCTGAGTGGGAAATATGATCAGACAAGGAAGCTACCTTGTTTGATGAAAGCAGGCATCAAGGAGATAATAAGTTAGTAAATTTTGGAGAAACTGTACATTACCTAGGCCTGGAATGGAGAGGGTCACTTTGCAGGAGGGGTGTTGGGAGAAGGGGAGACAGAGAGACACAATAATGAAAGAAAGAAGCAAAACTGTGGAATGCTTTCCATTCTTTAACCCAGGATTTAAGATAGACAAGTACCTTATAATAATATGACAGCAGAGTTAAAGGTCATGGTCAAAGCTGCACTGTGTATGGAGGAGTATGTACATGCATGCACACACTCTATTTCTTCTTGCCCAGGGAAAAACAAGCAAATGAATAACAAAGTAATCAGAAGTAGGGGCACACCAACAGCTGTAGTTAGGTACAGCTTAGGGGAAGGTCTGGGAAAGAGCATGAGTTTGTATTGTGTCACAAAAAACAATGTATCAAAAGGGAGAGTATGTGTAAGAAGAACTTGCTCTGATCATCTTCTCCTTGGGCAATTAGTATAAATAATAAATTACACAGTTCTGCCCGCAGTGTTTATTTGCCTGTACTATCAGTTTTAGGGGAAAAATAGATGCTCTCTCTGTGATGCTCCCTGTAAGATTCAGAGCAGCAGCAGTAGCAGCTGCTTCTCAGTTGCTTGCCCTACTCTGACCAGCACTCAAAGTGCTGGACTCACCCTGAGAGGAGGGAAGGAGAGGGAGTCAGCACTGAGCGCGGGAGAGATTGATGACGATTCGATGTCCAACTTCCAGAAGGAGCTGGGACACAACATGAGTCCTGCATGATGGGGGCAAATTTGGATAAATGCAGAAAGAGAGGTGTGCACAGACCCCCAACCCTTTTCCAACACCCATTCTCCCCTTCTACCTCAATAAAAAGAATTCTGACTTTCTTCCAGGTGTCTGCATACCCACCTAACACAATATAATTCCAAGGCTCTTTTGCAGTAGGGGTGGTCAATGACACAAAGCAAGTTATTAACATTCCATTGCATTTCCTGCAAATAGGTCTCATGAGCTGAATTTAAAGAAATTAGATGTTTAAGTCTGATGCTTATGATTTGTATTTAAATGTTTAAAGGATTCGGAGGGAGGGAGGGAGGGGCCTGGGAAAGTGGTGGGGGGTAGGCAGAGACAAATGTATTTGAAAAAATAAATTAAAAAAAGTTTACAGGATTCAAAGACATGTAGGCACACAGAGAGTCTATCATCTGATAGATTGAAATAATAATCTTATTTAACTATACCTTAAAAATGAAATGCTATACAGTAATAAAGGATCTTGAAAAGAGTGAAGTTTTGACTTCACAACTAAATTTTATTACCTGAGAACGGTGCCGTTATCCGCAAGTTTGATGAAGTTTCCGTCTTCCAGATCCAATGCCAAGCCCTTGCAACTAAAACAGAAATGTTTGGTTACCCATCAATTCATGTATTTACCTAATTCAAGAAATAATTTATATTTTCAAAAAGTCACAACGTGAAAAAGGCATTCTCCCACCCAGGTGAATGATATGTTAATCAAACAGAATATCCAAGAATTCTAAAATTAAATACCGCCCGGAACAAAAACATAAAAAAAAACTGTTATGTGAGCAAACAAAGGACAGCATATTTCTTTTCTAAAATCCTTAAGCTTCTAAAAAGAGAAATAAAAAACTCAAAGAGGACCAAAATGAACATCATTGCATGTCTCTGTTAAAAAGTGAAAATGTTTTCCATTGAGCAGCATACACACTCACATTCTGCAAGTTGTTAGCTGGAGTTCTTTTCTTACTCATTAAAATTTGCCTCAATTTAGGTCAGGTTATAAAACTAGCCTTCTGGGTAAGATATATTATAGAAAAAAACTAAAAAGGAAGGCAAATATTAAGTTTTAGGTTCTTCACTATAAAAGGCCTGTGGGATTTGGGAAGAAAAATGGGTACAGATTAATTATTATAAATAAGAAAAGCAAGAGGTTTAATGGTCACCAAATACCAGGAGAATTAAACAAAAAATGACAGAGTACTTTAGAAATGTTATTTACTTTGGTCCACAGTAAAACTTTCAGAGTCAGCAGTTTCATACAGTAAAATGTTTGTTGCTTCCTTTTACAAATGGGATAAATCAAAAACTACTAACCAAACACTATGGAGGAATGCATAACAGATGAACATTGTTGCTCTAGAATTATTTCTGCATGTATTTTTCATGTATTGTAGTATTACTATTAATTTTCAACTGAACAATTTAAAGTGGTTTAATAGGATTTTTGTTTGGTTTTGTTGTTTAAATAAAAAAGAGAGACAAAGGAAGCCTTGGGAAGTTGAGAATCTTAACCCAGGAAGGAAATACGCAGTAAGAGTCTTAGACAAAAGAATGCCTATCCAAATTACAAAAAATGTCCTAATTCAAATACTTATTCAAAACATGATGACTGTTCCTCTTCTCCTATAGTCCTGTATTTGAAGAGCGATAAAACAAAACTTTTTAAAAGATATAAATTTTAGAGAGTTCTTATACTCTCTAAAACACTTAGTAATGACACATTTAACCATGTGAAAATATCCAAGGTAGACACATAGCCTCTGAGTTTGTTTTCATGTTTAATTAAGAAGTCTAAACTTAAAGTAGAAAGGAATTTTTTTTTAAACCTTTGCCCATGGTTATATTGATTTTTGAGAGAAAGGAGGGGAGGAGGGGAGGGAGGGAGGAAGGGTGAGAGGGGAGGAGGAAGGAAAGGTAAGAGGGAGGGTAAGGGGAGAGAGAAAGAGAGAGACACACACATCAATGGGAGAAAGAAATATGGATCCATCAGTTTTCTCTGAACATGTCCCCACCGGGGATCAAACCCACAACTTTTGGCATAGAGGATGATGCTCCACCCAAGCCATCCAGCCAGAGCTAGAAAGGACTTTAAATCATTAAACATAAAGCTTTTAATAGAGAAGGTATTTTGTCCTTTGACTCAATTGCACATTTCCCTTTCTGCCTCCATAGAAGAGGTAGCATTAAAATTTTATCAGCAACAATGAAAAACCAGAATGAACGTGCAAACCTTAAAAACAAGAACCTACCAGAAATCCCAGTCCTCTGGAGTCACAGTGAGCAATTCCTTGTCATATCCTTTTTCTTTGACCAGGAACTGTGCAAAGCTATTATAAATGAGCTACATATAAGGGGGGGAAAAGAGAGATTAAGTATAAAATTCACTATTCATACTTAATTTCACAGACCTGAAGACCTAATGGAATTAGTCATGGGGCAGGTAGGGGGCGGACAAAATCTGTAATTATACAGCTTTTCAGTTCAATCCTTTTCACAAGCAATTTAACCACCCCTGTGAGCCCCAGGTACCTGTAGCGCCTTTTTTAATTCTCTAAAATTATACCCTCATCAGTATACAATTATACAACCAAAGGCAATCACTCATCTTACTCCTGAATTCTAATAGATTGGGGACCATCAAGACTTGGCAAAGCTTTGTAAACTTACTTAACACGTGACCAAGATGATAAACATATTGACCACTTTATCATTACATATATCCTTGATCTGTCTTTGCTAGAAAGATCCCACCTCAGGTGATAAATGTCATTAAGATATCGGGACCCACAAAATGGGGGCAGCCCTTGCGGCCCAGCCTGTTGGGAAACCCCCTGTCTGGTTTCAGGAACAGCAGCCCCGCCGACAGGCGAGAGGGCCCCAAGGCGGGAAACAATCAAGGCAGCCTTTGGAAAACTGTCCACTGAGGAGATGAAACCTGTCCCCCTGGCAGGGGCACAGCCCCTGCCTCCCTCATATCACCCTGCTTGGTCCTGTGACGGTTGGTAGTCAATCACGGGTAAGACCCCTCGATGGAAGGGACAACCTAAGCCAGACACAGCTGGAATGGGCAGCAGGGCAAAAACTTGGGGGACATGGAAAAGGCAAAAAGACCTGCACCCCTTGGCTCTGTTTGGACATGGCTGGGGTCCTCATTCTATTTGAAAGAAGTCTCCTTGTCTCTTGGTGGCTCCCTCCCCCGACCTGCCTCAGGCTCGAAATAATACTGGAGACAATTCTAAACTGGATCTGGAAGTTCCCAGGGGAAATCAGGCCTAGGAGTAAATTCTTTAAAGCATGCTTTGTTTCTCCCTCAAAAGCTATGATAGCCAGCTCATGCTGGGAAGGAAATTTACATTATTCACAGACCGTGACCCTAAACCGTTTGGAGCTTTCATGTTTACGCTCTCTTGTTTACTAGTCTCCTCTTGGACCCATGTAAATCGGTGTGTTCCTGACATTTGTTTTCTTCAAAACATCATCTATTCTCTGTAAACATTAACATACTGATTTAATAAGACATTCCTGTTACCTGGCCCCACTGATAACCTTTTCAGTAAAAACCTTTAGACAAAGGGGCTCAGGGCCTTCTCCACTAGAGAGAAGAGCCATGTCCCCTCTCCTGGCAAACAGAGAAGTGTTTGCAACGACTCGTGTTTATTCTCCGCATCCGTGACAGCCACGAGGTGGGCTCTGTGGGATTCAGAGTCTGGTGTCCCACCCCAGCTGGGCCCCCGTGGAACAGGGACCCTCAGATCCAGAGGTGCCACATGCCACATCCCTTAGACACCAGCCCAGGTCACAAATGTGATGCTAAATCAGCCTGCACTTATGGAGAACACCTGTCAAGGAAACCTAGCATACACCAATCCCAATCCTCCACCTCAGGTTTAGCTCACCTTACCCTAGGAAATAAGACCTGCCAGTCTTCTAAGGAAATCCCTGACCTCCTAGCCAATCATGTTTTCTTTTAGCGTCGCCTCTTCTAATGTTCCGTAAAACTCACTCTTGCCCAAAATCCTCCTGGGAGTGGTCCACTGCTGGTCAGACACTGTACTCCCCCAATTCATGGATTATTTTCTCATGAATATGGGACATCACACTGGTTACTTGTTTCAGTTTTGTCATTTGACACAAAGGAGTATCAAAGAGAAATACACATAGACACCAGGCAGGGGATCCTAAGGAGGAACGATGCAGAAAACATCTCTTATTTTTCCACCTTTAGAAAAAGGACAACGGAAGAGAAGCAAGCACAGAGATTAATGCTTTGCTGATTTGTTGACAGATCTAATTTTTCAACAACAACACAATCCCATCTTTTTGAGTGAAATATGTTGTTTGTATATAGCTGGCTGATTATTTAAATAACTGTGTGTACCAAATAAAAAGTAGGCAAAAGGTCGATGAAGGCCTACATCAGCTCCACCCCATTCTCCTTCAGAGAGTGTTCTTAGGCCTGTATCACATGCACTTGAACCTGAGGCAGAACCATAGTCTTGGGTCAGATTTAACAGTGTCTAAGAGGGCACAGTGAGCAACCTGACCCTTCTGCAGATGTTAACCCAAGACAGGTTCAGATAGCATGGGATGGCACAAGGGGGAAGCAGGTATAGACACAGCAAAAGGAGTGGGAGAAGGCCTCCCTGATGTAGTGATGTTTACGCTGACATCTGCAAGAGCAGCACTTAGCTGGGTGAATTCGGGGCGGGGTGGGGGGTGGCGCCTAGGGTATGACTGTGAGGAGGTGAGTGTGGAGAAGCAAAGGCTCCTCGTTAAATCCATGTCGTAAGGCTAATAAAAGTATTAAGGCACTCCCATTCAATGCAAAGGACTTTGATCCAAGTCAATTGCTACAAACTCACATTACATCAACACTATGTATCAGCAGTTCACAACAGTGTTGGTGATTCAGAACTACATGTGATGGTTCTTAAAATCACCCAGAAATTGCAATCTTGGACAGTGTGAAGCCCAGATGGGGTCCCTATAGGATCACTGAAGCTCAGAGATGTCTTAAGACTACTGATTTATGTTATATAGATTTTTATCCAGTCATTTAAAAAATCAATCAAAATGTCCTGAGTTATTCTGGAGTACAACATACTAGGGAAATAAAAAACACACCCACAGTCCTGCCTGCAAGAAACCAGTGTCACGAGATTAACAGATATAAAGCGCTTAGAGCTGTGCCTGGCATACAAATAAATACAATTTAAGTATTGCTATTATTATTGGTCATGTGCTGGTTTTAAAAAAGGGCCCCGACTTGTAGCCTTTGCCCATTTTCCTGGTATAAATACTCCCACCCTGGCCAGTTTCAAGCTACCAATGCTTACTGCACACTACTAGACCTGCCTCTGATCAAGGCACTTTATTCAGTTTTGGACAACTGGAGTTTCTCACCCCTTTGGCTACTGATTAAGACATGGGCCTATGATTCCAACGGAATCGGGTTCCCTCTTAAGACAAAGGAGCCCTTTCTAGAAGGGCTGCCAACAGGGCCGTCCACAGCTGTGTTTCTTTCCTCTCAGAGGAGACACTTCTGTAACAGGAGAGAATGGGGTCAATGTGCAAGGAGAAGCAGAGGACACTGATACTGAGAAAAGGAGGGGCCTCCATGCCTTTGAAAGCCCTACCCTAGTCCCAAGGCCTCAGTTCTTGGAGCTTTTCCTTAAATGATGCTGATTCTCCCGAGAAGCCTGCGTGGCAAAGGACCTCCACGACCAGTCTCCTTCCTGGCTGAGGCTTAGCTATCAGACTCCCTCACAGTCTCACCTGACTAATAATAGTGCGCATGCTATAGCTGTTGGAAATTGGCGTCCTATCGGCCATACGCAGAGCCCAAATTACGTTTGGTTCCTAACTCAAGATGCCCGGTAAAATGATAAAATACCTAGCTAAATTTGATTTTCAGATAAACAACAAATAATTTTTCGACATAAGCACATCCCATGCAATATTTGGAACATATGCATACTAAAAATGTTTTTGTTATTTGAAATTCAAATTTAACTGGGTATCTTATATTTTTCTTTGCCAAAATACTGCTCTTTAAAAATGAGCTAACATTTAAAAATTGAAAGACTTCTTGTACAAGTTTAGATTTCTAACTTAAAAGAATGAAGCCTGGCAAGACTGAGGCTTCACTCCTGGCAAATGCCGGCAGGAGCCGCGCATGGCTGCACTTGCAGAACGGCACACTCTCTCCTGGCTGCCACAGGCCCCGCTCTCCCACTCACACATTGAGGCCTGGCTCCGTACACTTCTGAGTCTGCAGCCACAGGCGGGCACAGGTGTCACTTCTAGGATGCCTTTCCTGAGCCCCCAGAGGAGGGGACACACCCAGTTCCATATCTGTACAACACCCTGTACTGGCGTCAGTCCCTTCAGGCCTCCCCCCTGAGCGTTGCCGAGCACAGAAAGCCTGGCGGTGGGGTCAGAAACCTGCAAGCCAGGTCACCTTTGTAGTTGACCCTAGAGAAGCTCCTTGTCCTTTTTGTGCCTGTTTTCCTCACCATGAAACAGCAATTGCGATGATAACATCTAATCCCATGGCTGTTGTAAGAATCACATCAATTTATCGAAACAGAATGCTTTTAGAATAGTCGCTCTAAGTGTCATATTTAGTTGTTAAAATACTTATTATCTATCTATCCATTCCACAATTATTTATTGGACCCAATATTTGCCAGGCACACAGAACATACAATAAACTGCCAGATATACCCTTGTCAAGGAGTCATGGCTCTAGGCGCTAGTGGAAGATTCCAAGAAGTAAACAGGGAAATACAATACTGTGTGTAAGTGCTATGAGAAATTAAGGGTTTCATGGAAAACTGGAGGTGGGATAGAGGAGGAGGGGTAAACTTCCGGGGGCTGGGAAAGGCCTCGCAACGGGAATGCTATTTAAGATGAGACCTGACATAGGAGAAGTTAGTGTAACGAAGGGAGGACGGGGCAGGCACAGATAACAAAGAGCCAGCTGCAAAGTCCAGGTGATACTGCCCTCACCACCCAGGATCCGAACTAACCTTTCAGCAACTCAGTCCATTCCAAGGCCACTTGAAGGCCTGTGTGTTATCTCTGTATGCCCAACTAGATTAAGGTGCTCAGTGCACTGAAGGCACTTAATAAAAGATTTCTAAACTAAACAGGATCCAAAGCACACCAGATCACTGTTTTCAACCTTTAAGCATCACATATATTGAGGCTTGTAGTAAAGAATTCTTGTCTTCAAGGATCTTGTATTCTGAAATCTTACGCTCACACGCATAAATTTGGCTCTAACAGTGGTTTTTAACAATACTTCTTCCAAATGCAGGTGACTACAGAGGAGATGCAGAAAAAGTGAACCAGGAGGCGATTTTAAAGGCACAGAGGGAAGAAAAATAGGAACCAAAGACCTAGAGTAGTGGCCAAAGGATCAAGAAGGAAAAGCCTTCTAAACTCTCAAGAAGAAACACCTGTACAACAGGAAAGCAGAAAAGAGCAAGAACAGTACACTTATTTTTTTAGCATCTGCGCATAGAAAACATGAGTGATTCAGACACTTTTTTGATATTTGAGTGGCTACCTGAACTGATGCTGATAGGAGCACTGACCTTACCATAATGAGGAGATTGGGGCTGTCTATACCAATGGCCTAGAGTTCTATTCATAAATGGTGAGGCTTCAAAGCAGTTTGGGTGGTAACCATATAAGAAAATCCAGTACTTGTACCTGCCAGGCACTGATACATCTATTACCTGTCTAATCCTTGTAACAACCTTTTGAAGCAAATCCAATTATTAGCCCCACTTTACAGATGGGAAAACTGAGAATAGACACAGGTTAGGTAATTTGTCCAAGGTCAGAGCACTACCAACCCAGCAGCTGGTGCTCCAAGATAGGCAGACTGGCTGTGGATTCTTCACTTTGACCACTCTGCTCATAATCATCTTTTCTGTTGGGAGCCATATATCTTTGACCAAAAAAAAAAAAAAAAAAAAAAAAGCTAATTTTTCACAATGTTTTCTTGTGAAACCAAAGCAATGGAGGGAGGGGGGAGAACAATTCATTTCAGGGTACCGGTGTGGAATCACACATACTCCACTTTCCCTTCCCTTCCAAAGCACAGGGAGGACGCAAACTTTGCAAGTTGTTGTTAGGATTAAACTTATTCAAGGTGCATGGAGAAAAGGTTATTTTCTTCTTTTGGTAAAGGGCAAAACTAGGGCCAAGGTTATCTTAAACGAGTTTTCAACTAGTGTTCCTTCTAATTCACCACACAATCTTTCCCTGCCTTAGCTGTTTAAAAACTGACAGGTGGGTGTGTGTCTTGTAATAAAAACGATGCTGCCAAGGAAAACACAAGCCCTTAACCTGGTGGCTGCAGTGGTGCGCTGCTTCTGCCCAAAATGACTTGCAAAGAAGTTCCAAGGCCTGGGATCTGCAAAGGACCCCTCTAGCTCCGCCCTTCCTGTGTCTTAAGAACCATTTCCCCAGCCCGATATTGAATAATTTGTCCTGCCTTCCGCTCTTTTTCTGCGTAACCCTCTCTCAAACTTGACATTTCGGCCGGGCTCAGTAAGTCCGTGCCCAGCGCACGGGAGGGGACCCAGGGATGTACACTGCCGCCCCGCCTCCCGGTGGGAGGCCGAGTTCTGCACTAAGACACGGCGGCTGCAGGCCCCGGCAGTGCTCGCCGCTGCCTAAGCCGGGAGGAAACGCCAGCCCTAGCAGCTAAGGCTGCAATCTGTGCATGCCGGACATACCGCGCCACTCACCGGGGCGCTCTCGGGCAGGTTGTAGCGACAAAGAGTGTGGTCCAGATCGAAGCCGACCACGTCGCAGTCGGCCAGGGAGAAGTGCTGAGCCATTGCTGCGCTGGGAGCACCGGCAAGCGCCTACACGCGGGGAGAGAGTGAAGAGTAACCCGGCCAGACGCTGCGGGACAGGACCCGGCAGGACGCGGCAGGGAGGGGCGGGGCGGGGCGGACTGCGTCCACCCCCGGGGCGCGGCGTGGCAGGCTTTCGCGCTTCCCGCGCCCCGGAGCACCGCCCCTGGACACGCTTCTCCCCGCCCCTCGTGTCTCAGGCCTTCCCGGTCTCATTCCGGGCCAGGTCGTGCTCCTTTACCTGCTCATTCAGCTATCCTACTCCTGACCCTGGAATTCCTTAAAGCGACCTGAAGCTGTACCACTGCTGCGGGAATTGAGAGGGCGGCTAAACACTGCTGGCACGTAGCTCTTGCCAGGAAATTAACCGGGGCTCCCCTTCGTTTTGAAGGCGCAAGGGAAACGAGGAAATTGTAAAGTTAGACCTGACCCTGTAACATAAAAATATGGAGACAATTTCAAATGTATCCACTAGTTTTCCTCTGACCATATTAGCCTAGGATTTGAAAGATTTTTTTCGCCCACGAGATCTCTGACTATGGGTTGAATAAAAAACTTTGTATTCCATAGTAAGTTCCTAAGCATACTCATAAGTAGTAAAAGGGATACCTTTCACGTTTCACCCATAAAGAGCCTTAAAAAATGACATTGATTAAGGAAATCATTATTGGTCTTGTTATTTGATTGTCTTATTCTTTATGGTAATGAGGAGTATTTCTGTGAAAGGACAGCAGAAACTTCTCGGAACGTACAGCAGGAGAGAGAACGTTATGTAAGCAGGTTTTAAGGTTTTAATCAGTTGAGCGACAATCTTCTCAACTCTCTGGGACTTTGTATAACTAGTATTTTATATGCATAGGGGGAAAGTTAATCCATTACATACAATGAATGCTTAGGGCATTTAATTCTCTCTGAGAACCCCTGGATATGAAGGGCTAGGACTTAAGATCATTTAAAAGAGAAAATACAATTCTTATTAAAAAGAAAACATAAATCTACTATCATTGTATTGCTTCTGTTTTAAATTTAAAGGAACTCTTTGTTCAATGGAAAAAATCAATAGTCATGATATAATAAAAATATAATTGATTGAGAATTATGTTTAACTCTTAGAAATACTAACCCTTGTGAGGCTCATAGACCAAATAAGGGATTTAGTGCAATAAATAGTTCAATCTGGTAGGACACATTATACCTAGTAGACTCATCCGAATAAATTCATAGCTTGTTCTATTATAACTCTTAAAAGCACCAAACAAATCTCTTTGGAACAGGAATAGGAAAGAATCAACAAAATTGAGCTGCTCCCTCATAAGAGCCCGACGACTGTATCTTTAATGTTTGTGAATAACAAGAGAAAATGCTACATTATTTCATAGCTAGCTCCTATTTCCCATTCATCCATCTGTTGGCCATAGCATTGACCTTAGCAGTCCTCTTGGCCCTCTGTGGTAGAGTGCCTGCCAAGGTCAAATTTCCAGGTAGACTTCACACTGAAGGCCAGGAGTCTCCTTGAGGATATATTGTTTTATTATTGAAATAAGCACTTTAGGGATTTCTCTTAGTAATGTAAATATACAACTGTTGGGAAATGTCCCATCTGATTTCAGGGACTGTAGCCTCACCGACAGGCGAGAGGGCCCCAAGGCTGGAAATAACCAGGGAGGCCTCGGGAAAACAGGCCCCTGAGGGGATGAAACCTGTCCTCCTGGTAGAGGCGCAGCCCCTGCCTCCCTCACATCACCTCGCTTGGTCCTGTGATGGCCGGTTAGTCAAAGACAGGTAAGATCTCTCAAGAAAAGGGACTACCTAAGCTAGACACGGCTGGTTTGGGCAGCAGACAAGGACTTGGGGGACAAGTAGAAAGGGCAAAAAAGCCTGCATGCCTCGTCTTGGTTTGGATGTGGCCGGAGTCCTCCTTCTATCTGAAAAAAGTTTCCTTATCTCTTGGTGTTTCTGCTCTGCCCACTGTTTTTCAGGCTTGAAAAGATACTAAAGGCAGGTACAACCCTAAACTGAATCAGGCGGTTCTTGGGGACAATCAGGCCTAGAAGTAAATTCCTCTAAGTGTTCTTTGTTCTTCCCTCAAAAGCTATGATAACAGGCTCTTACTGGGCAGGAGATTTACATTATTCATAGACCCTGGCCTGAGGCAGATCTCTTGTGTTCCTTCAATTGTTATGTATGATCTTCATGTGTTTTCTGTAAACATAGCCTTTTGACATTGATTGATGAGCTTTGTTGTACACCCCTGCACACGTGGTTCTCAATAAAAGCTTTTGGACACAAAAGCCTTTGGACACTGGGGCTCGGGGCCTTCTCCGCTAGAGGGAAGAGCCCTGTCCCCTCTCCTGGCAAACAGAGAAGTGTTTGCAACGACCCATGTTTATTCCCCACATTCGTGACAGCCCCAGGACGGGCTCTATGGGATTCAGAGCCCCACTCCCTCCTCAGCTGGCTCCGGACAGTAACCCTTAGATCCAGGAGTGTCCTGCTCTGCGTTCCCCGCAACATACAACTGCTTTTATTGCTAGAGGGGAGAGCACAAAGTGATTGTTTTTGAAGACTTATGTGGTCCTGGGATGGGAGTTGGTCAACAGACCTGGATGTGGTCATCAACAGTCGTATCTACTTGCTGTATAACAACTGTTAAATTTTTTATTCCTCATATCCAGAGAACCCTTGTGCTATACAGTCTATGACATTCATTCCTTGTAGGACAATTTAGCAAATAATAAGATTTCAATATCCTTAAATATCTTACTCCTCCTTGAGCTCCCTTCACCTTTCCTTTAATACTTTAAATCTCCATCTAACTCTTCTAGGAACATGTGAGATCCCCTCCCTTCCCCCAATCCCTACATAACTCTGGATTTAAATACAAACATTCACTTTCTGTCGTAAGGCTATTTTCAAATAAAGATATTTCACTTTTTCCTGTATATTTTATCGCATGTACTGATAAAGTACCACAGCTCTTCTATTATCCATCAGAAGTTCATTGTTCTATTCAGATACCAATTAATTTCTGTTTCTTTGAGTGATATATTGAATATTGAAACTTGTACTACTTAACACCCACCCCCCCCAAAAAAAAACGCAATCCTAACCAATCCAATTAAAAAATGGACAGAGGACCTGAATAGATGTTTCTCCAAAGAGGACAGATAGCCAATAGACATAAGAAAACATGCTCTACATCACTAATCACCAGGGAAATGCAAATTAAAAATGACAATGAGATATCACCTCACACCTGTCAGAATGGCTGTCATCAATAAATCAACAAACAACAAGTGCTGGTGAGGATGCAGAGAGAATGAACCCTCATGCACTGTTGGTGGGGATATAAATTGGTGCAGCCATTATAGAAAACAGTATGGAGATTTTTCACAAAATTAAAAATAGAGGTGCCATTCACCCAGCAATTCCACTTCTGGGTATTTATCCAAAGAAAACAAGGACACTAATTTGAAAAGTATATGTACGTTTATGTTCATTGTAGCATTACTTAACAATAGCCAACATAGGTGGTTATTGATAGATGAATGGATAAAGATGTGGTCTATATCTATATCTCACTATATCTACTGTATGAATTCACTTACATATGGAATCTAAAAAAACAAAACAGATGAATAAACAAAACAAAACAGAAACAGAGTCTTAGATATAGAGAACAAGCTGATGGTTGCCAAACGGGGGGGTGCAGAGAAATGTAGAGGAGGATGGAGCTACGTATTTCCTCCAAACCCATATGTTGAAGGCCTGAGCCCCTCATGTGACTATATTTGGAAAGAAGGAGTTTAAGGAGGTAAATATGGTTAAATGTGGGTGGAGCCCTGATTCTATATGACTAGAAGAGGTCTTGAAGAGGAAGAGACATCAGATATGCACATGTACACAGGAAAGGCCATGTGAGGGTACAGGGGGAAGGTGCAGTCTGAAAGCCAAGAAGAGAGGCTTTAGCAGACATCGATTTTACAGGCATTATGATCACAGGCTTCTAAACTTCAGAACTGTGAGAAAATAATTTTCTGCTGTTTAAGCCACCCAGTCTGGTATTCTGTTAAGGCAGTCTGAGCAGACTCATACAGTCAGTAAATAGATTTGACTGTAATCAATGTCATTGTAACAAATGTAGCAGATAATATTTGCCATTTGAAAGCTCCCCACATGGCCAAAACTGTGGCTTAAGTTATTTGTTGGTTTTTAATACTTTGGTACTTTTATTTGTACATAATATTAATGCCATGCTGTATAGTTTTAGGGTATTTTTGTTGTTGTTTTCCATGTACTGTTTCTTCTTATAGCTAGGAAGTTATGATATAATTTTAGAATGCTCAAAAATAAGAAGTAATGATATTTATTGCTGATTTTCTAGAATTGAATTTTATTGTTAAAACTGACCAGAATTTTAATAAACATAATACTATAATTTAGCAACTTTAGCCTTAGGTGTACCTTTTAGTTAATTTGTTATTTACCTAAATAATAATTTTGTGAATAGCTGGCTGAAGTTTTAGACTCTAAAATAACTCAGTAATACCTCAAATTTATAAAGAACCTACAAAACTCAACACCACCACCACAACAAAAAACAATTAAAAAATGGGCAAAGTACATGAATAGACACCTCTCCAAAGAGGACATACAGATGGACAATAGGTGCATGAAAAGATGCTCAATGTTACTAATCATCAGAGAAATGCAAATTAAAACCACAATGAAATATCACCTCACACCTGTCAGAATGGCTATCAATAAACCAAGAAACAAGTGTTGGTGAAGATGTGGAGAAAGGGGAACGCATTTGCACCATTGGTGGGAACACAGATTGGTGCAGCCACTGTGGAAAGCAGTATGGAGATACTTCAAAAAATTAAAAATGGATCTGCTTTACGACCTAGCCCTCTCATTTCTGGAAATATAACCAAAGGAACCCAAAACACAAATTCGAAAGAACCTAAGCACCCCTATGTTCATTGCAACATTATTTACAATCACCAAGATATGGAAGCTGCCCAAATCTCCATTAGTAGATGAGAA